CCTCACGCCAGGCCAACCCGCGCTGCCTCCACACGCCCTGCCCGTGGCCGCTTCCCCAGCTCCAGCCCCATCACCCCTGCCTGACCCTGGGGACGCCCTGACCCTGCCCCCTCCTTGCCAAGGCTGCTGCAGGGCAGAGACCCTTCCCCACACCCCTGGCTGCTGCTCCTGTCACTGGTGGAGATCTGAACCAGCTTGGAAGGACAGAAAGCTTGGAGGGGTGGCCTTGGTCCCACTCACTGCGCCGCGCTGTGCTTAGGGACTGGGTGTGACTGACTTCTGGCATAGCACAGCCCAGCTCAACTGAGGAGAGTTCCCACAGGGTTAATCCACAAGACTTCATGCATCCAAGCAACTGCCTACAGGCCTGGCTCCTGCCCAAGAGGAACACCATTGCCAACGTGCCTGAGTTCACTGCTGGCTCCTCCGTGACAAAGGTGACACTGTGATGGAGGCCAGGCTCTCAGTCGCGTGTCCCACCACACAGGGCTCTGCACGGCAGTGGTGCAGCCACCACCCCACCTCCTCCTCCTCCCAGCCCATCCAGGCCCAAAGGCAACGAGGCTCCTGCTGCCTTTGAGGCTCCCTGTGTGCCGCACAGGAGGTGTGCGTGGGAACAGCACGGCTGTCACAAGAGCCGGTCACTGCAGCGTCAGCAGGTCTCACAAAGCTCCGCTGCAGTCAGGTCACCCCCGGGCACAGCCCCACTCAGAGCTGGTGCTGCACGAGGTAAACAGCCCATCACAAGCACCAGCCCTGCCAGCAGCTCAGCTCCAGCACCACTGCCATCAACCAGAGGCTCTGCCAGCAAGGCTGGGCTCCCAGCGGGTCACTTCAGGAGCTGTAGCACCCCAGAAACCAGAGCACCCAGCGACAAACCCGGGTCTCATTAAACCCCAGGGCATCCTGCTGGGATTGAGCCACATTAGGCTGGGATCAGTCTGCACGTGGGGAAATGTGATGTGACATTCACTGCAGAGGAGACTTTATGGAGAGAAAAGGGGAATCCTGCTCAGCCTAAGCTCCTGTCAGGCTTACTGAAAGAAAAGGTTTTGACAAGTTCATGGCTGTGGCATCATAGAATCCCAGACTGGTTTTGGTTGGAAGGGACCTTAAAGCTCATCCAGTTTCAAGCCCCTGCCACAACACCTTCCACTAGAGCAGGTTGCTCCAAGCCCGTGTCCAAGCTGGCCTTGAACACTGCCAGGGATAGCGCAGACAAGGACCCTGCGGG